AAGCATAAGGAACTCTTACAGCTCAAACTAATAACCCCATTTTGAAATGGGCTAAGGACTTGAATTCACATTTCCTCAAAGAGGACATTCCGACGGCAAGCAGGTATGTGAAAAAATGCTTATGGTCACTAATTATTAGGGAAATGTATATCAAAACTACAATGAGGTATCACCTAACACCTGTCAGATTGGCTATTATCAAAGACAAGTGCTGGTGAAGAGAACACAGTGGAGAAATTGGAATTCTTGCACACACTGTGGATGGGAATGCAAAATAGTGCAGCTGCTATGGAAAACAGCACAAAAGTTTCTCAAAAAATTAAAAATGGAACTACCATATGATCTGGCACTTCTTGGTATATATCCAAAAAGAATTGAAGTCAGGATCTTGAAAAGATATTAGCACTCCTGTAGTCATTGCAGCATTACTCACAATAGCTGAGAAGTGGGAAAAAAAGCCTAGAAGTCCATCAACAGCTGAATGGATAAAGAAAATGTGGTATGCATATTTCATGAAATACTAATTAGCCTTAAAAAAAGACATTCTGCAATATTCAACATTATGGATGGACCTTGAGTTTATTATGCTAAGTGAAATAAGCCAGACTCAGAAGGATAAATTCTGCAGGATTACACTAATATGAAGTATCTAAAATATTCAAATTCATAAAATCAAGGACTAGAATTATGGTTACCAGGAACTGGGGGGAGGGGAAATGGAAAATTATAGGCATAAAGTTTCAGCTAAGATGAATGTATACAAAATTGTACCTGTAGTCAATGTATTGTACACTTAAAATTTGTTAAGAGGATAGGTCTCAAGTGTTCTTATCACAATAAGACAAAATAAAGACAAAATTAAGTCAAAATTAAAAGAGCATCTTTCAAATTAAAGATAAAGTATCATGGGAAATTGTAGTAGTCGTCATCATCATCCATGGCAGACTCTGGTATAAGGTATAAACTAGTTCCTTTCTTGGGTCTTTGAAAAATAGCAGCATTGAGTCCAGTTGTAGGTAGAATATCACTTTTTATTATTTATAAGTGGTAATTATTAATAAGTAATTACATCATAATCATAATGGCTTCTCGATTATATAGTTAGTGATCTATTCTTCTTGTGGTTTAGGAAAAATTGGGATTATGATTTCCATTTTAGAGATAAGGAAACCCATCTGAGATCAGGGAAGTGCCATTCCAAAGTTACAAGCTGGAAATCCATGTCTAGCTGCAGCTAATATGTAACATGTATGCAAAATAAGATCAGATATTTTTGCTTGGTTAGGCTGGAGTTCCTGCCCTTCCAGGTCACAAACAGGAATTGGCTTTGGTTTATATGTTTAAATGAGTCTCTCTTTGTTAGGAGACACTGCAAGGATGGGGTAGAGGTAAACAGAAGTACATTAAAGACCAAGGCACAAGCAGGATTTACCTGAAGCACTCAGTGTCTGGAGAGTTAAGCATGACCCCTGGGAGGCATGATTTGAACCACAAAGAGGGAGGTGGCTTGGGCTGCAGCGAACTCAAGGGGTGGGAGCCCTGGGTCAGGGGAGTCCTCTTGTGTTTTTTAAAACAAGAGGTGACATGTGGGGAGTGGGGAAGGATAAGGACACTCTCAATTTCCTCCCATACCTAGTCCTGTTCCTAAGCATCAACTCCCTGCTCTCTGCCCAGTTCCTTTATTGCCTCTGTTTTGGCTCTTCAACGAAGGAGGCATAAGTACTAAGAATCCAACCCAAATATTTTGTCTACAAACTCCAGAAACTCCCTTCACTATAGAGGATAACCAGAAACACTGGTTCACCTCCAAGAAGTTTTGGCTGATTATTCCTATGTGGATCCTATCATTTCTCACTTATCATTCCTCTTCCCACACTTACCAGTATCCCTGGGCCCAGTTAGGAGGCTTCTGCATTAGTCAAGAGAGAAAATGAGCCTGAACTAGAAAGATACAGGGAAAGGTAAGAAATACATATTTTTGAATAATGATGTGTTAATTGAAACATGCTGTTCAACCATTGTCTACTGGTCTCTTCCTTCTAGAGAATGAGTGTTAAGGGAAGAGATAGGAGCCATTAACTTGGGCATTATTCTTTAAAACAGTCTTTAAAGTGACCTCTGCTACAATGATAAGCTCTACAGGAAATCATTTTGCAATGCCATTTCAAATATAAGGAGACAAAATCATCTTGGTAATAATATGCTCTTGGAAATTCACAATTTTTCATAATACATCAAAATAAGTCAAAGAAATGAAAGAAAACAAATGTGATTTCTGAAACAGATCCAAATAGGGTATCATGATACAGTAGGTGATAGGGACTGATTTTAGAAGTTTGCATAAATTCTAACAGTGCGAACTCTTGGTTAATGAGCATCAGCAAAGACTTTCTAATGGCATTTACTTTCTTAGGCTCCTCTGTAATAAAAACTCACATTTTGTTATATTGTCTATGAATTCAATCATTTTATAGATGAATATTTGTACTTGGAAATAAATTTTTAAATCTTGCAGACAGGAAAATATGTGAGCACTTGTATAAATTTGAGTCCATTCCCTAGAAGTTCTATAGATAAAAATATCCATAAACTTTAAAATCTTTTACTATTCCCTAGGGCCTGCCTAGAGCAAGCAGATAAATACTTTGTAAACTTTAATCCCCCCTCCCCCCTTTTCCTGAGTTCCAAGTTCTTCCAGGGTTGCTGATGGGGTAATCATACTGGCCCCTTTTATTTGAATGGCTCAACGAGAAATATTTCTTATAGGTTCCTCTCCCACAAGCCACATCCTTGAAGGACCTTAGGTGACTATCTTCCTGTTTGAGTAATCTTTCAAATCCATCATTCTGATATCTTTTAAGGATATATTTTACTGACTTTAAAATAGATGCACGCATTAACTGAGTACTTTCTGTGTATGAGACCCCTCTAAACAATTTTAGGAGAAAAAACAAATAGACAAGTTCTATTGTCTAGAGTGGTCATTTTAGCTCTTGAAATAGTACAAACAGGATAAAATATTAACTACAAAAACAGGTTCCCATGTTCTGGATATTAGGGGAAGGTGACTGGCTCCATTATGCTCCCACTCTTGAGACTGTGAATCAGAGAGGTAGGGTTCATGCACTGTTGAACAGAGTGTTCAGACCTGATCAAAGGAGGGAGAATATTAATTTTTTAAAAGTGTAGTTTTGGGGCGCCTGGGTGGCGCAGTCGGTTAAGCGTCCGACTTCAGCCAGGTCACGATCTCGCGGTCCGTGAGTTCGAGCCCCGTGTCGGGCTCTGGGCTGATGGCTCAGAGCCTGGAGCCTGTTTCCGATTCTGTGTCTCCCTCTCTCTCTGCCCCTGCCCAGTTCATGCTCTGTCTCTGTCTGTCCCAAAAATAAATAAACGTTGAAAAAAAAAATTAAAAAATAAATAAATAAATAAAAGTGTAGTTTTATGGAGGAAGAGAGAGATACACTTATATGACAAATAAGGCTCAGCAAATCCTGATTGTACAAAAGGATTTTATATATAATCCCACTTACTCTTCCCTATAATCCTTACATAAAAACAGAGCATTGCTATTCCTTATTTAGAGAGGAAGAAACAGGGGCTTGGAGATAAGGACTTGTGCTTAAAAAAAAAAAACCCACATTAACTGTATCCCATAAGAGAAGAAAGATCGCATAAAAACTGGGCCACTCCAGTGTTTAATGATTTGAAAAAATAAAAATGAGCTAGAGGGAAAGATAAAAATTGTTGATATTACCCAGTGATCCAAAAGAATTAAAGCATGCCATTTGCAACAATGTGGATGAAACTAGAGTGTATTATGCTAAGCAAAATAAGTCAGACAAATATTGTATGATTTCACTTATACGAAAACAGATGAACATAGGGGAAGGGAAGGAAAAAGGATAAAAACAGTGAGGCAAACCATAAAAGACTCAAATACAGAGAACAAACTGAGGGTTGCTTGAGGAGGAGTGGGTAGGGGGATGGACAGGCATTAAGGAGGGCACTTGGGTTGAGCATTGGGTGTTATACATAAGCGATGAATCACTAAATTCTATTCCTGAAACCAATACTACACGATATGTTAACTAACTTGAATTTAAATAGTAAAGAAAATAGCATTCTTGCTAAAGATGAGAGTTCTTTTATGAGGAGAATGAAGAAGCTGTGAGGAGAATGGAGGGAGAGCCACATGAATAGGGACTTTAACATGAATTTAGATGGAGAACCAAAAGACACAGCAGCTCCTCATTTTCTCAGTAAGCTAGAGGCAAGGCTGTACTTACAGAGATTTGTGAATGTGGAGAGGACCTGAAAGATATGTTCCAGAGCAGTTCTTTCCTATAGAACTTTCTGCAATGATGGAAATATTCTGTATCTGAACAGTCCAATATGCTAGCTACTAGTCATGTGTGTCTGTTAAGCACTTAAAAGTGTTGTGACTGAGATATTGAATAATTTTAATCAAATTTAAATAGTCACATGTGACTAGTGGCAACCATATCTCAGAGTAGTGCTAGAGAAAACAGATTTTGTAATAAATCGGGGCATTACAAACTGCAAGCTTTATTCAACTTATACAGACACTCAAGGCCTGAGATTTCAGGACAGTAAATTGGTTTTTGTGATTGTTAGCTTAGCTTGATCATCATGTACAAATGTGTGTTCTAAAACAATGAATTAGTTCAAACATATTTTCACTTCTTTTATCAGGGTATTCTTGATGTCACCATGAACACAGAAAACACTACCTTTTCTCCATTTCTTTATGTAAGTTGTCTTGTAATATCAATTCTAATGATGTTTTATGTTCTATCTACTCAATGACATTCAAAGTTCCTTAAGGGTAGAAAACATGGATTATACTTATCCAGGTCTATGAGGACTACTAACCAATTTTGTTTAAAGTTTAGCAACAGGAACAAGAGCTAATTCTCTCTCTATATATATAGAAGGTGAAGGAGCCCTGTAAAAATAGACAAGGAAGATATCAAAAAACCATGACAGCCTCCAATATTACCACAACCCATCCAACTTCCTTCCTGCTGGTAGGAATTCCAGGTTTGGAACACCTGCATGTCTGGATCTCTATTCCATTCTCCTTCGCCTATACTCTGGCCCTGCTAGGCAACTGCACCCTCCTCTTCATCATCCAGACCGATGCCGCCCTCCACGAGCCCATGTACCTCTTTCTGGCCATGCTGGCAGTCATTGATCTGGTTCTCTCTTCTACAACACTTCCCAAAATGCTAGCTATTTTTTGGTTCAGAGATCAGGAGATCAACTTCTATGCCTGTCTGGTCCAGATGTTCTTTCTCCACTCCTTCTCTATCATGGAGTCAGCAGTGCTTCTGGCCATGGCCTTTGACCGCTATGTGGCTATCTGCAAGCCACTGCACTACACCACAGTCCTGACTCGGTCCCTTATCACTAGGATTGGCATGGCTGCTGTGACTCGGGCTGTGACACTAATGACTCCACTCCCCTTTCTGCTCAGACGTTTCCACTACTGCCGAGGCCCCCTAATTGCCCACTGCTACTGTGAGCACATGGCTGTGGTAAGGCTTGCCTGTGGGGACACTCGCTTCAACAATATCTATGGCATTGCTGTGGCCATGTTTATAGTGGTGTTGGACCTGCTCTTTGTTATCCTGTCTTATATCTTCATCCTTCGAGCAGTTCTACAGCTTGCCTCTCAGGAGGCCCGTTACAAGGCCTTTGGGACATGTGTGTCTCACATAGGTGC